GCATATGATACTTATCTTGTATACAAAGATTTCTGTTAAACAAAAATCGAAAATAAAATCAACTGTTGAGACTAAGGGCTATAAAACCTACCATTGAAGTATTCGCACATATAGTATTTATTTTTACATCATTTCTGCCTTTTTCTTATATATTTGCTACCCGGTCACACTTGAACTTGAAGAGTGTTATACGAGGATGCCGTCGTCGAGAGGACACAACTGAAGATGAAACTATAACCTTGAATTTTTCTAAGTACGCTACTGGTCTTGCACGGATTGGATACTGTTCCTTCATCAAACAAGACAAAATATATTTTTTGTTCTAATATAGTGTTCCATCGAAATAAGAGGACTATTTATTTTTTGTCGATACACAAAATTTGGTACTTACTAAAACTGGAACTTAAAGTTTGCTATCAGATGGAAGATTGAGTTCATTAAAGACCATTAAAAGAAAAAACCCGCCGACCTTCTTAACCTGTAACACTCCTTTGTCGGTGGAACATGTGCTTGTGCAGAGTCCAATATATCATATCCAAAGAATACAGTTCACGTTGCGGCACCGTATTGCGGTTCCTTGAAAATGTTAATCTGCATGATCTAATGAAAAACCTAATTGTATTTTTGTACACCCGCAGAACCGTACGTTAAAGTCCAGTGACATTGAAAAATTGATAAGGTATCCCAGCAATAATTGAAAAAATAATAGGGTCCTCTGGAAAGACTGTCTAAAATCTTCCTAGCATTAGTTAAATATTCCTGCGGACCACTAGTCATTGCTAGAACTGGCCTGGTAGTCCTCGAGGTATTTGATAAAAGCAATTTCTGTCATACCGATAATAGCATTTTAAAAGCACTTTCGGCATATTTTCATGTGAACCTTTCTTCTTGAAATCAGACAAAAGATCACCCCCTTGAGTGATTTCAGTGGCTTCGAAACATTCTTTACGCTGAAAGCGAGTGACTTAAAGAATAGTTGAACCAAAAAATAAACTACGAAAATAAATCTGGATTATTGATTTTTAATTAATCTCAGCTAATATGCTTTGCAAATGCCTGTACTATGTATACTCCATTTCTCCAAACATCTGCCCTAATACCTAGTACGGTATTGAACAACGCTTCTGAAAGTCAATGACTTCTATAGCACTTATAACCGACCAATAAATCGCATTTTCACTTTACTAAACCTTTTTCCATCGAACAGGCCTATCCAATGATATATCACTTATTGCTATTTGTCTCGTTCTCTTTTGTTTCTTTTTAAGCGAGTAGAATCACTTAAAGAAACATACATTATGCTACCACTAGTACCATCATACATTTCAAGCATTCGCGGAATATTACACGATTTAGTTCAGTAACAAAACCAAATATCTGCTTGTACTTCAAATTTTTTCTAAGATCAGACTATTTATTTAACCAATCGTCCATTTATCTGACATGGTTGCCAGTTATCTAGGCAACCCGACCTTAAGTTTTCTGGCTCGGTACTGCATTCTTGCACTGTAAGCTTTGTGCGTGGATGATGGGGATTGAGTCACACTCTGGTTTGGACATTATTGCCGGGAGCGAAGTACACAGTCGGGGAATTGAATCCATCGCAAGGCGCGCGTTGGAAAAAAGGGAAATAGCCTAGGGCTAAAGAGAAAAAAATAGCTATTTCGTGTAAAAAAGTTTAGCAGATGTCTGAAAGTTTTCAATTTTCAAATTAAATTTTATAAATAATCGGTGAACTGAAGATTTTATAGCATAAAAACACCTTCAACTTTGTTTTTTAAGAATTAAAATCTATAAACAATTAGCGTAAATTTCGTTTTTTTTAGCAATATTGCTTAAATCTTTATAATTATTGCGAAAACAATTGTAAATGGGTAAAAGTGTAAATAGTGTATGTAAAAAGCTAATTGTTTATTCCAGTGACGTATAATTTAAGCAACTGTTCTTGCCAAAGGCATGGTATTAGATTATTCTACAAAAGTGTAATGGATTTTTGAAGGTTTCAATTCAACTTCAAAAATTTATGCAAAAATTAATTATTTATTTTAAAATTGTTGTTAAAAATTATGTTAAAAAATAGTCATTTTTATAGTTATCAACATTTACAATAACCTCGTCATTTTTCAATATAATTTATTTTACCAAGTTGATGCATAGGTGGTTAAAAAACGCAAATTTTAGAAAACACCTTCTACGACCAATAGAAGCCAATATATTTTTTTTTAATTCATATCTCCTCTATAAACATTAAGACTCGAAATTTTCACAGACTTTATGCAGGGATCTCAATTTTATGATACAGTTTACTATTACAATTGTACTATTAGTTTAAAGGTCTTTAATAAATAGGTGGGGGAATCAGCTCTAGCTCGATTTATTTTTTGAAATCGAGTCTGTAAAATATAGCTTTACCTCGTAGAACATTCTTTTATTTAATTTGGGGTAACTCGTCGAGATAATGACATCTGGTACATTTTCATCTTCCTGGAAAATCGAGAAATCCCGGAAAACTTTACACGTTGTATTCTTCAAAATTAAATTACTATGAAATATATACATATAAATACATGAACAATAAATCGTTCAGTTTCACTTACACAATAAAATAATTTATATTTTACGATGAAATTGTTTACACAATTCATAATTCAGTTAATTGGTATACCCTTAACAAAATACAATCTAATAAATTGTGAAAATATTGATTAACGTTTGACTTTCATTTATATTTATTTCATTTGCATTCTTTATGTTATAATATTATATAATGTACTTTTTATTATAATATTTTATTATTTAATTAACCTCTGTTTTGAATCTTTTATTTGGAAGCTTTCTTCTAGTACAATATTTGTATAACCCATTTCTTCAAATAATTCGATTTTCTCAGTCTTTATGCACAAAGGTGTGCAATTTAACCCATGTTTCTTCCAACTACATCTACTTGTTTGGCAACCAGTACTTCATTTGCAGGAAATTTGTTTGATAGGATCGTCTAGTATTAAACTGTACATAGTATAGATCGATTCGAAACCGTTGTTACTTCGCCTCCACCGGTACTTGGGTGGATCTTACCTTGTTTGTAACTGGTAATATAACCGGAGAAGGTGTTTATAGATAAATATGCGCTTTTTAACCATCCATCCAGATCAACTTGTTAAAATAAATTATATTGAAAAATAATGGAGATATTGTAAATGTTTATAACTATAAAAATGGCTATTTCTTAACATAATTTTTAACACAATATTAAAATAAATAACTGATGTTTTGCATAAATTCTTGAAATCGAAAAACTTCAAGAATCCAGTTCACTTTTGTAAAATGTTCTAGAACTATATCTTGGCAAGAACAATTTGTCTCTGGGATAAACAATTAGCATTTTACATAGACTATTAAACCTATCCGGCTGAAATTGAGCCTACTTATTACCATCAATGATGCCCTCATTCTCACAAATTTTTTGGCGTTTACAATTGTTATTGCAATAGTTATAAATATTTATTCAATATTGCTAAAAAGCCCCGTATTTAGCTCAATTGTTTATCTTTTCATGCTCTAAGTCTCCAGTTCATCGATTATTTATAAAATATAATTTGAAAATTATACAATCAAAATACTGAATTTTGGACTTTTCCCATTGTTTATGAAAAACAACGCATATCTGGCTGTACGAGGGGCACGCTGTATATTTTGAGATGCGCATTAACTATACTAGTTAAAACTGGCAAGAGTGAACTATTAGAAAGAGCAGTCCTTTATTAGTAAGTCGCCGCATTCACTCCATTTGTAAGCATCTTACAGTGCACCTGGTGTAAACAAATTTAAGACGAAACATGGAGTTGTCTTGACAGAATTATCGGGCTTTGATTTACCATTACTTTAAAGTCGGTTTAACTGAACATCAATGTATCGAGCGGTTACAACAGGCATTTGGTAATGAAGCTTCGTCCTGGGCAAGTGTATTTCGCTGGTATGACGAATTAATAAGAGGGCGTGTTTCATTGGCTGATGAAGAACGAAGTGGTAGGCCATGTTCTAGAGAAGATTCTCGCTGCACATATGCGACTATGGAGGCAACTCTTGGGATAGGATCCGCAACAGTGCACACCATTTTGCATGATCATCTTGATTTGTAACTGTAGATTTTTTACGCCTGAATCGTCAACAATTCGCGTGGTCGAAAATTCTCGTCCGAAGAGGAAGTCGATCAAGAAATTAATCAGTTTGTTGAAGGGATTCAAGGTTGGCCTAATCGAACATTTAATTTAATATTTTGTTTTCATTTTGATTAGGTAAATTTATTTGAATTTTGATGCGATTTAGTGTTTTAATTTATTTTAGAATTATCACATTTTGCGGACGGAAAATGTAACAAAAAACTTTACGCAATACAAATTATCACTGCCTACGCGTACGCAGGTGAAATCCATTTCGAAGCAGGACGACGTTCCCTTAAGAGCGCTAGATGGGTACTGACGAAATTCGCTCAACTATGTTCATGGAGGTGGAAACTTTGCTTTGGAATGTACAAGATGCGGTGTTATCAAATGGACCAATGTTGCAATGTTGCAGAATTTATGGAGATCCTGACCTTTCACTTCGACCTTAAATGTAGCGCCGTTAGGACCGATCGGGATTCAATCCTAAACAGATTCGTCACAATTCGGAATTCAATAAAAAATAACGCATAATTTTAATATGCATTTTAATTCAAGGAACTGGTGTAATATATTGGCAACGTAGCATATTGCCGCGTCAGCATTGCTAGGCAACGCGGTGATGAGCTTAGTTATCCAGGCGGCTTCTATCCCTTTCTAACATATATGTCTCTAGACACTTCTCTCGTACACATTGTACTCACAGTCAGACAAATTTGGTTCTCAGTGTATGTAGGCAACACAAAACAAGTGCTTAACTCACTAGGATGCTTGAGTTGTGTAATATTACTAGTAGCGTGCTATATCAAATTTCGTTGTTGTTTTGGTTCTTGAACTTACTGTCCTCTGGACGTGTGAAGAAGAAGTGTGACTAAAGTAGAGGCACCAGGGCAGGTACAGTTGTTGGCAAGCAAAGCATACTTGAATTCGTCCTCGCATACCACGTATTCGGCGAACTTGACGTGCAATTTGTTCTCCGGCCTGAAGATCTGGACGTACTGCGCCACATTAGGCGCGAAGTCCTTCACAGCCCATGAGCGGAGAATTGTGTGTTCGTCCTGGAATCACAACGCAAAACGCACTTATTCACATTAATATTTTGTTATCCACCTAAGCATCAAATTACTTATTTTTTAAGTTGCTTATGTATTTATCTATTGTTATTAGTTACTATATACAGCTAGGACTGCAGCGATGGATTACTCAAAAAGGTGACGTAAGTCAGGACTTTTTATATTCGAACCAATACGAAGGCCTAAACGCCCATGGTATAGGGCAATATAGGAGAAAGTGGCGACACGAAACGGACTCTAGCGAGGGTACACGCGTGCATGCAACATAAACGCATTCTGGCCCGGCCTTAGGGATCCGCGTTCGACAGTCACAGACCGTCTCCCACCTACCGAGAATCACAACATTGTAACGGTTTCACCGTCCGATCGTATTTATTAAATCACTTCTCGATTATCATTTCATTAATCCCATCTCTAGCTTTTCTGCTTGGAAAAGTTTCCGCTTGGAGCGCTTGATGCGGAGTTCCTGATCTGCGATCTTCCTCGCGCTTCCTTTTCACTTGAGCCGCCGATCGAACAACGGCTAGAAATTTCTTCTCTGTAGCCAAAAGAAAAATTCTCTTGGGACGGGATTCGAGCCCGCGCAGCGCACCGCGATCCATGCCGTTATCAGTATAGAGAACCGACTATGGTAGTTGATGTACAAAAGCTGATTTTCAGTAATTATGTTAAACTGAAAGTATGGCACGACAGGTTGAAAGCTCTTGAAATGGTTGTTCCTTCTCTTTTAGCTAGTGAGATTGGCCGCATTAACAAATTGTGTGATTGTATTGAAAACGTGTGTCATAACGCTAGACTGTGTTATATACAGGGTGTTGGTAAAGGTCGTGACTGAACATCAAAGTGTGATTCTTTGGTGAAATATAAGAAAAAAAAAGCTTTTAAGAGATAGATGTGATTATAAATAATATTATGAAAATTTGAATTTAGAGTATAATTGATTGGAGTAATTTCAATGAAATATTTTATAATAAATTATTAATGCTGACACTTCCACCGTTTTTGAGATATTTAAAATTATACGTATAACACGACGAATGCACACCAATGAATTATAACAAGTATTCTCGTATATTTGCCTTTGCTATATGATTCTTAACGGGCTTAATATCGTAGGGGATTTTTACTTCAATAGATCGTATTCCTGACATAGGCAACAAATAGTACAGGATAGTCAAAAGAAGAGAATGAAAATTAGATAAAAAATGATTTTCAAACACTCACAATTAAGCGTTATATCTCGTTCAGCGTTATTCTTCGTTAATGTGCCGAAACACCCACACAACAGTTGTACCAAAGTCTAAATTTTTATTAAAATCTCTTTTACGTCTGACTTTGACCCCCTGTAGTGTGAGAGGATCAAGTACGATCACTGTGCCAATTAGCCGAGAAAGTTGGATTACCATTGGCAATGGCTCAATGGTATTATTCATATTCGCCCTCGCCGTTTGTTTCATTTTATTGCAGTTATAATGGATACAAGAAATGGACAGGATTGATTTTAAAGGATAATTTACATTTAAGATATTAATGTATTGTTATGCATGACCTACATTTTGGCATAAAACATTTTTTAACGTACAAACAGTAAACGCTCGAATGCTGGAGGGTGATTCAATTTTTTTACTCAATTCTGTTACTGTGGTCAGCTCATCTTGGTATACAAATTCTCTCAAGCAACCCCGATAAAAAATTCATTGGATTTAGGTCCAACGATCTTGGCTGCAATGAAATAAGGACGCGCAGCCTGACCCATCTTTATGCATGTTGCATGTTCGTAATTGAAGTGGTCTGGTTCTGACCGAGTGTGATACAGTAACAATCATGAAATTAATAGGTTGTCCAATTTCCGTTATGGCCAACTAAGATTATCTTACGGTAAAAGCCGTATGGATCATTTGAGCAATAGAACAATGAAGATTCCCTGATACCTTGAAAGCTATTAATTTACAAAGCAGACAGCCTCAGAAAAGATAAATCCTCATTGTTAATGCTCAGTTCGATGAAACTATAAAAACGATGGTTTCTATTTAGATAAATATTGCACTTTTGGGCTTACTAAAATCTAAGTTTCGTCCCGCTTTTGTGACCACTTTGTACTAGTTTCTGTCTCTAACCGGCATAAGATCTACTAAAGCAGGCGCCTAACATGAGAAACCCATTTCGAGATAAATTTGAAATATCTAAAAACAATTTAGGATAAGCGAGTTAAGTGGGTTCCTACTTCTGGTAGGTGCCATTGTTTAGAAAATAATTCAGCTGAATTGTTTCCATGGTTTATACTATAAGCCCACATTTTTATAGGCGTCAACGTTGCGCACGTTTGCTGTGTCGGTGTTCAGATGGCACGCATATGACTTCGTACAACTTTTATATAGAGTGACTAGGTGATCGAGTATCAGTATATTGTGTTTAATCAACGAGAATGGATGTGAGAGAAGCTGTTTGTATTTGGTTAGCATGTAGAAGAAGAAAACGATGTAGGAGGGAAAGGACATACTGGGTTAACCCAATTTTAAGGAATAGGCTTTCTACAAGTTTATAACCTTTCTTCAACTACTTGAGGATGTCAATAAAGTCGTTTGATAATTTACTGTCCATCATTAAGGATTATATTGTAGCAGATGTAAATGCAGTAGTAAGGTATTGCATTTCACCAGAAGAAAAAAATCAACTACACTAAGCTATGTTGAATGCACGTTTGGTTTTGCTGTAACAGATGGCGAATCTTTTACCTGCCATTGGATGTAAACAAAGAATTCGCTGAGAGTATTGTTAAGGCAATATGTATTTTACAAAATTACGTACGAATTAATGATGAACAGATGGTGAATATTATACCGGCCATTGGATGTAAACAAAGAATTCGCAGAGAGTATTGTTAAGGCAATATGTATTTTACAAAATTACGTACGAACTAATGATGGATTTAATTTGGAAGACACTAAACACAGCGCCACTGACAACATTAAATCGGTCACATACTGGTCGTAATATAAAGGATGCAGATGAGGTTCGAGTAAAATTTACTAAGTACTTTGTGGATCAAGACAAACTTGAATGAGAGGATAGAATAATCTAAATTGTTGTCTTTATTGTAAACATCAATTATAACTAAAGCATTACAAACAACAGTATCTAATATTTTCTCTTTTTCTTCGGTGTCATCGGATTTGCAAAACATTAGGACCATTTTTTCCCATGAGCTTCTTTTTGTCGTCTTATTTGAGTATAACGTAGAATGCATGTCTCAAATCGCTGGCCTCTTTTCAATTTCATCAATGAAAAGATCGGTGTTGAATTGTTCTACTTCCATTTCACTAACTACCATACGTAATTATTGTTTCAAAGACACACCTTCTATGCCGCCTGAATGCTATGAAAGATGCTCCCTAACTGAACAGGCAATGGAAACATCTAGTATTTCAATACGCGCGTCCATGTGAACAGCTAAACTGTATCCATCGAAGAAACAAAGTAAAATCAAACATATACACCCGTATTGCACGTGATCAAGAACTTAACCGTAGGAGACGCTACAGGGCCGTATCAAGCTATTGTGACTGATCTATCAAAAAATGTCGTACAAGATATGTGTTGCTGTAAATTCTATCAAAAGCATAGTAAATTATCAGGAATATACCACGCCTTTCTAATCATATTTCGACATTAGGAATCAGTGCAAAAAATTCTGTATTCACCATTTCAGCAAAATGTTACTAAAACGCACACGAAAAAAACTTGTGGACCATCTCAATTGAAATTGTTTATATTTTATTATTAACTTATATATTATACCCAATAATATTTACAAATCAACCTTCTATTCACAATGCAGAGCAAATTTCTTTGAGCAAATAGAAACTACAGACGTAGTAGTAGTAGTACAAAAGTTTATTACAGACTCCATAAAGTTTGTTAGTTTGATTGCTATTAAAATTTACATTGGAAATAGGAAGAAGGTCAAAATGGCACTATTATGCTTTGGAACTCCTAAATTAACCCTAATTTTGTGTAATTATAAATTTGGAATTTCCACATTAATAACGAGAAACTTACACTTTGATTGCAGTCTATAATGAACTTACCTGTCTTGCCAAAAAGCCCGTTAAACTGCCAGTCTTAATGGTATCAATCGATTTATATGCTGTATTCCGAGGAGCTTGAATCATCAGAATTGTTGATGTCAGTTATAAGGGGTTCAACTTGGGTGTCAATGATATTGTCCATATCCCACATTTTGGTTTCAACCTTCTCTTGGACATGGTCAATACATGTTCTCCATTTTGCTGGCGTAATTCTATCGACAGCAACATCAAACAGTTTTTTAAGGTCAGAAAACTTAAAAGTGCTGTTATTTGACGCCACGTATTGCTTGATGTCGGCCCAAATCAACTCGATAGGATTCAGTTCGCAGTGATAGGGAGGCAGCCTGAGCATCGTTTTATTTTGGTTTTTGGCCATTTCGTCAACAATTTTTAAATCATATTTATACTTATGTCGCTTGACTATATTTATCAGCTCAGCTTTGACCATTGTTTGGTCGAAGTCGATCTTCTTTGAGACAAGCCACTGTTGAATGTCTGCCTTTTTGGTGGCCATTGTTGGAATTTTTTCCAATTTTCTGGAGTGGTACGGGCCATTATCCATCACAATAATTGCGTTATCATCAAGTGTCGGCAAAATTTTTTTGAACCAATTTTCAAATGAGTTACCATCCATTTCTTCGTGATAGTCTCCAGTTTTTTTGGATTCAAATGCCCACAATGCTTCAGGAACAAATCCATCTACGCTACCTATGTGGCAAATGATCAGGCGTTTTCCCTTGCCTGTAAGTAATTAGTTATTTTACTTCTCAGCGAGCGCACTAAATGACGAAATTAAGCAACTTACTCTTTTTAGGTTAGTGTAGGATAGGGTCTTAGATTAGTTTTTGGGTGAAGGAAATACTCAGAAACTTGGATGAGATAGCAAAACTGAGTTCG